ACTTTGATTTTCTTAATTACTTGCTATTCACAAGTAGTGATACAAAATCGGATTGTTGTTAGTGCAATTGAAAACGCGAGTTCTATGATGCAGTGGAAAATCAGGCTTGGTTGCTTGAGCTATAGTCTTGCTTGCCTCACACTAGACCGCATCATCAGTCGCCAGACAAGAGAGGTCTCAGCACATTTTGATGTCAAACTCACTTTAACCTCTACTTAACCGAATTCAATGGTCAAAACCACTGAATTATACTCAGAAAGTGGATATCTTTAAATGAAGAATTGTCTGGAACAGGCCACAAGCCCTGCAAATCAAAAAGGCGGGCAGGATTAATATCAACGAGTGTATTATCTAATTTTCACGTAATCGGATTTTATCTAACCTTTGTCGTCCTCTCATGTTCAGTGGTTGAGTCCTCACGAATTCGCTTTGTGGCATTAGCGGCTAGGATTAACTGAGATGAGCATACAATGAGTGACTGATCTCATGAAATGATGGTCGAAATTCTTAAATGCGTTTTCGATTAGGGGGGATTACTTAGGTGAGGTTGTAATACTGATTATCTTGCGACATAATCGCATAATACTTCGGACTCGCCTGAATTTTGGCTTTTAAATATATTTCTTTTTAGCCTCCTGTAGAAACCGTACTCGGTAAAAATGACTACCTACGTAGCAGGCAGTTTTTACACTGATGTTTGATGGTCTGATAAATTAAAATATAATTCATAAAAAACATGAACAAAATACTTTTTCGTTCACCCGATTAATGGACAGTCGTGTCGTATTCATTATTTATACCCGACGAGAGAGTATAACTAGGTGTTAAGGAAGTTTTCGACTTCCCGAATAATTTGGAGTCCGATCAGCCGTTGCGTTAGCGCCTAGTGATTTCAGTCTATAAGGTGCACGCGCTCTGCATAAGGAAAATCATATATTCTTCTATGCCTTCAAAAAGATATCATATGTAGTCCATAAAATTTTGCAAAAGATGTGGACCATGTTGTACATTTCATGTGGAGCTGTGGTAAACGGACAAGTACGATGCTGTATGAATGGACATTGCACGGCCCTAAAATACTTCATAATATAAAACTGTTTTAAAACCTAGCTAAACTCTTTCTTCGAGTATAAAATATAAAGATCACGGGATTATCTATCGAACGACTGAAAGAAGGCATGTTTTTGTTCGTGGTTTCTTTAAAATCTATTTAAATTTGGAGGCCTCTCGAAAATCAATGTGAAAAATGCACGCTACGTAAGCAGTCACTTTGTTACCGAGTACGGTTTCTACACGATATTGAAAAGCAGTGCATTCAAAATCTAACATCTTTCCGAGTCCGAAATGTGGGATTTTGCCGAAAGATAATCAGTATTACAACCACACCTAAGTAGTCCTTCCTAGTCGAAAGCGCATTTCAGAATTTCGGCCAGCATTTTATGAGACCGGTCACTCACTCTAAGGCCACCAAGTCAAGTCACTAGGACAGTGTTTACTGCGGCAGAGAGTGTAAGTGCGATTCACCCACACCAAAGGTCCCCCCACGCCGCGTGTTATCGTCTGTCAGCCGGAAGCGTGGGTCGAACCGTCAGGCTGTTACCGTACCAATCGACGTCACGGTACCGCTAAACCCAAGGTCTGTGTCACACAGACGCCCGACTGGTTAGGCGGTGGCTGGTTCGGCTGATCTCCCCGTTACAGCTCCCACCCCCACGAGCCTCCGGCTCACCGATAGTGGTCAAAAAGCCCGCGCTGGGGTCCGGACTGGAGAGGTTCGATTAGGGCTGCTTTGGGTATTGAAGCGCGTCCCAGGTTCTGCCTACAGTCTGGTCGTCAGGGAGCGAAGACGACTGCACGTGATTCCGTTTTCAGAATAACGAAAAAAATACCCTCGACCATGAGGATGCAGTATGACGACTAAAATTGCAGACCACAGAAGTCGTAGGGTACGCTATAAGACCAGGAAATTAGACTTCCAGCATCTGCCACTCACAGCATAACGCCCGGTATGACAGTATATCCTTACACAGCCGCGGAGCTTCGGATTGCGACACCGGCCGGATTAGCTAGCTCTCAGCTCGGTGCCTGGATGCATCTCCCACCTCTAAGGCGGCTAAAACCTTGCTTGCGGGGGGTTCATGATCACTGTTCTCCCAAACAGCCATTGAACCCTGCGACAGTTTGTTGGGCAGCCAGTGATTCAGACATCAGTGTTCTGCATCCTGGTGACCCCGTCGCTGATGGTTCACAGCTGTGTGTGTTCTTTACACCCCCTCTCACCCGCCGGGTTGCCAACAGTTAGATCAGATGGCGATTTACGGCCTCCCAGTGTAGGGAAGACTTGTCGAACGCAGCCCAGGCGTCGGATGATTATAATTGCACCCAATGTCCAAGCTTACTACTGACATGTCTTCTCAGCCGCGAGTGGACTGGGCTATGCCCGAAAAATCTTCAGAATGACCAGAGTGCATGTAGGCTAGGCATTTGCCCAGTGGGCTTTACATAGAACAGCCTGTGAAGCGTGTGATATCAGGTTCCGGCATAATTGCGGTCGCCCACTTTCAAAACGGACCTAATCGTTTGTCCCGGGGTCCATGAGGGCCGTTTTGCACATGGGCCAAGTCCCACATAGGACAAGGAGTAAGTCTGTTTTTATGGAGGACGGGGTCGAGATGGAGTCATGACCCCACAGCGAAGGTAAAAATGCCGCCACGTACGGCACAGCAGGTCCGGCCGGTTGCGAAATGCACGCGTGAAATCAGCTAACCAATCAGCGTATACTGTGTCTACGACCGAGCGTGATGCTTTTTCTCACGCTTGCGGCCGACAGACTAGTCGAGGTCCTTTTTAATGAAACGGTTTCCGCGCAAGAATCAGCCAATTCATGACCGGAACGCCAGAATAGCACAGATACTTTAGGGGTAGGATAAATAGGGTGTGCTTTTTCGCGAATTCGTCGTCGTACTAGTCTGGCTGGCAAAATAAAGGTAGCTTCCGAAACGCGCCTTCCACCATCCCGTTAGCACATGGTGTTTCGCGCAGTTGAAAACTGGTAGAGAAAGCTGCCCGCCAGCGAGATGGAGTCTGAGACGAACAGCGGCCCCAACCCCGGCTGGTTGGTCACACGTACATGTCCGCGAATGACCGGTGAGACTGAACCGACCGACATGGGTAGAGCGGACGTGAAAACATGTGCCGGACAGGCTGTGCGCCTCCACGTCAGTCCAAGTCTGCCAACAAACTAGCCAGTGCACTCGCCAAGACGAGTAAGGAGCGGATAGATCCTAAGGAACGACTGGTCGTTAGATGACCAACTATTTCGAAATGGGGCGGTTCTAGACGCAACCCTGGCATCACGATGCCGAAAATGAGAATACTCTGTGGTTCCTGGGACCGAATTACCACATTCTCAGAATGGATAGGTTGGGATTGCATAGAATTTGTATACAGATAGACAGCGCCGATAGAAGAGAAGAGACGAGTCTCAGGAGGTAGTCTTGAAGAAGAATACACGATCACCGGGACAACAGCTTTATTAGCCTGACGTTCCGGATTCCTGCTCGGACCCATCATCAGAGACAACAGCAGATACGGGTGATTCATGCACAAGGGGTTGCAGCACTTAGAGGATGCAGTCGCCAGACTACCGCATTCCTGTGAATATTCACAGCTCTCCCCTTCATCAGAGATAGTTGCACTTGGAGGGATGACTATTTGATGGCCAAAATTCGCGTCGTCAATCGTTGCGATTTCATCCCGGGTGTTGGATGTTGGTGTGATGATTGCTCGACCATCTGATCCACCGACCCTGGCGTTGGGAACACAGGTCACCTGTGCGCTCCTCGCGTGGATAATCACTCCGCCTCGGCGACGTCTCAGCGCCGAGCATGGAAGGGAAAAGTCGTTGCACTTGTTAATAGACTGGGGGCCGGCGATCCATGACTCAGGCTGCTCGCGGTCCACGCGGTTGTCGCCTCTGATGAGGGGTCCGGGCAGGAACCCGAAACGTTCGGCAAATAAAGCTCTTGTCCCGACAATTGTGCCTCCCTCCTCATGACAGTCACTTGTGCGCCAACTTCATTAGGAGCGGGATCGCCTTGGCTAGCAAGAAACCTGCCCTCTCTTATCCCGAGCATAGCGTAATTGCACCCCAGATATCTCCCACCACTATTCTATAACCTATTTAGAGATGTCGGACGATGCTTTGCGAGCTTAAGCGCTAGTTACGCCCCCCATAATCCGTCTCTTCTCGTACAAAGATGCAGGTTTAAATAGGACCTACTGCGCTCTAGCCGTATGATCGTTGACACCTTCAAGGGAAGAAACTTCAAAGAACTTCTTGGCCATTACACAGACCCTACCCTCGACCCGCGGAGAAGCCTCCTCGGTTATGGCACACATCCTATCACTCATCGATAATGTACTCTCCCACCCAGGAGGGGACCGTTGCCCACTTTCTCTTTTGGGTTCCTTCACAACTGTCTGGCGAGCCAACTGAACTCATTCTGAATCAGGCAGGGGGGCCGTTCATAAATTTTGTCCAGTTGTAGGACGGGGTAGCGGTGCCCCGCTTTGCCCTTCAGCTCTGGTCTATAGCCCTTGAGGCAATCTTAACAATAAATATCATAGCAATTTGTGGTTTATTTGCCGAGGACATCCTTACCCCAATCTCCTGGTCGGAAAAATGACATCTTGTCTGGGTTTGAAGCCCATGGTTTTCTTATCTAACCTCTCCCCGTGGGGAGTTTAGTGTACAGGTATTCAAACTGATTGCCGGTCTCGCTTTCTTCCTAGCTTTCCGCAGACGAGCGTCACCAGGCAAACACTCCATCAGAAGAATAGAGAAAGACAGCATATCGGAGACCAAAGAGCACGCGCAGAGGAAGAATTCTAGCCGGTGCGAAGTAAGGTGGGAGAATCAAGTCAGCACAGGAAGTATGAAAAGAAAGGGAGGTGATAGGACGAGTTGCGGAGGAGGAGATAATGAAGGAGTCAGCCAGTCAGCTGGGAAGGTCACCCTCGGGCGGGAATCCGAGACTGAGGCGAACACTGCGGAGAGCCATTTCGTTGAAGCGTTGGCGATCCTCGCGCCAGGTCTTGGCGGCGTCTACGTTGGCTGCACTCTCATCATTGGGTTCTAGGCAAGACATGAGAAAAGAACTCAGTCAGCAAGGCGCTCCTGGCATCGTGTGTTCCAAGTCTAGGTTACGGTCCATGGTTAATATGACGCACCGTGCGGCTCCACTAAGAGCCCTCGGTGAAAGTTGAAATGCGACTAGTAAGAACGACAGTGAGCTTTCAGTCATAACCGACCCCACGTTCTGGGGGGAAGGGGGCTGGGAGTCTGGTTATTGGGTGTTTTCAAGCTTAACACTCTACCATCGAGTCACGGGTCTGCTGTCTTGCCGGTTACAATAAGTAATAGTAAATACTGTAAAATGGGCGTTCATGAATTACACTACGACACTGACGAACCTACCAGCCAACATACTAACAACCGAGAGAAGGATCTTCTCCACCGATTGTACCGGGCTCCAGCGTTCTGCGGACGTTTCATAACCCAGCGGGTCGTCACCAGGGGCGTGGAGAATGGAGATGCAGACTCGACCGTCCGGATAGACTAATAACAAGGATAAGATTAGCCTAATTAAGAACACGCATGAGCATACAAGGTAAGAATGCCAACAATGCGGTTTGATACAGAATGACTTCCTCCCAACCCTTTGCGTGGGTGTGACAATGAGAAGCCGATTGTTGACTACGTGCGAAACAAATTCGCGGGGTCATAACTGAACGGAGAGAAGATAGAGAAGGGACTGCAAATGTCAGCAATCAAACGCAGGAAACACTAGTCAGACCACAACAGAAGACGCGACCACCAGACGCATACATCGCCGACAGACAAGACGAAACCAACCCAACATGTCTTTCGAATGTGGAAAGCGGAATGGTCCTGATTCAGTATTATTAAATGAATCAGGGGACACTGGCTTAGGACAAGACCTGCGGTGCGCTTCACGTCTTATTCTCCTAGTCAGCAGTACACAAAGTTTGCAGGTCTAGCTAGGCGACAGAGAACGAAGTGGCTGAGAGGGAGACATGACAGGAGGGGACTGTGTACCGATGCTTTCGGATGAGATTATCCGCCTGCGCACATTATTCCGGTTTCGAAAAAAAGCTGACGTACCTAGAAGGCGCGCAAACAAGGACTTACATAGTTAAACATACTCAGAATGCTAAAACTGACTGGTTGAAAAGGTACCGCCGCCAACCGTGGACATGACGCAGCGCGACCATTCGACAGCCGCCAGCTACAACGTCCACCGCATGGTCCACAGAGTGGGCGTAGGACAGTTGGCTGCGCGTGAATTTGTTCAGTGGGGCGGGCTTGCGCAGCGTCCACCGCACTCTTCTCTTCCTCACCCATCTAGCTCTGTCAAGACGATCGGAAGCGGACGCGGGCGCAGTGGCCGACAAAACTAAACAACTAGTCTACGCGTGCCACGCACGATCAGCCAAGCGGTCCGGACCTACGGCGACACTGAGCAGCAGCCATTGCAGTCAGACTATCAGTCCTGAAAAGGATCGAGTCATCCAGTCAGTTGACAACCTTCCCTGTCACGGTTCTTTGCGCGTAGTTATTGGCCGGAGTACATCATATTTTATTTACTACACTGACATGCCGTCAGAGTGGATTCTCCAACACCGGTCTCCATCCCTCTCCCGTCCCCATTCCCCACCGCCGTGCACCAGTGGAATGTCTGGGTCTGGTGATGGGATCGGGTGCAGTGGCTGGGGCGGCATGTGTCAACGAGGTGTTAGTCGTCCGACGAACGATTATTCATACCATTCCTACAACCAAACCGTGATTGATTGGGCAATTTTACTGAGGCTGGCTATCGTGTTTTAGCCAATCAGCGGAAAAAGCTTCATCAAGGCATTCTGGAATAGGTTATAACAGAACAACCGGGGCTCCTTTTCGCGAACACAGGTTACCAACAAAAAGCATAACATCAGAGAAATAATGCAGCGTTTGGCAAAAAAGTACGTAGAGATGCATGAACGCACTGTTTGGATGAAATATCTCGCTGGTGAAGCGCATCTCTGGTGGAGAAAGGGGATAGTCGGCGGGAAATGTAAGCCGAGAGGCGAATACACCACCTTCGAAAGGCGTATCATCCGGACCACTGGAACACAATACGATTATTTTGAGCCAGAATGCAGTAAAAGTACACAAAGAAGGTAGGCTTAAACTACGCAGTTTGATGAGATATTGAGTACCCTTAGCCTTTGGAATGCGAACTAGAGTAGGTTGACTCGCAGTACAAATTCAGAATCCGACGAGGAAGGCATGTATGCACACATGTATAGCTCTAAGACCGCGATCTGAACGCCATAACCTAGAATGCCTAATGCCTAATCTACTAAATGAGCTGGTGAACGACATAATTGGACCGACGCTGATAAGCGTTCACAGTCCGCATAAAATGAATATGAACAGAGGGTCCAGACATCAGTGCTGGTCCACAGTGCGCCAGTTGCCTGCGCTCGTTAAAGTGTAGAAGTGCTCAACCGATCTGATGGTCCACCGATCCTAAGTCCGACATATATTTTGAGGTTTCTTGGGAATTTCGAATACGGGCGGGTCCCCAACAGCCGCTCGGATTGTTTGTTCGAGGTTGTCTCCTCTAGCGCTTTGGGTTAAAAGCCTAACCACAAGGCAGCGGTTGCAAGCAAACTTATTTAATGGCGGTTTAGGATCGCCATGTCACAATGCCGTCATTGGGTTTTGCGGCTTTTTATAAGGCTTTCAGCGTGCTAGACCTCAGCCCACAGCACCCTGGTAGCAGTGTCGCTGCTGGTCCGCGACTGCTTATTTGTCAGACCTAGGTCTGCTTATTTCGCAACCAACCCTCACTGAAGGTCGTCCCACTATCCGCCACCCGTGGACGCGCCGGGTGGCCTGTAGTTAGGCAGATCTGCTGCCGCGGATCGTCACGCGTAGAGAGGTACAGTTCGGGACATCATCGAGGCCAGCTAGATCAGGCACGATCGCAGCCGTATCAAGTACAAGTACGATCCTAAGTCGGTGATCTTGCCTAGCGCTGATAGTTCGGAAGGAGCTTGACAGCCTGCTTTGAAAACCAAGGCGAAGAAAATGCCATCGAACATGTACTACGAATTTTAGAAGAGGCAGTCGTTAGAAAAAAGGACATTAAGCGGTAAAATAGAAAGCTAAGAATCAAAATAAAATTACTATTGCTCCTTCTGTATCAACAAACAAGACAAAGGTATAAAAAGCTAAATTGGTCAAAATTAAAATGCAACAATACTGATGTGAGCATTACCCTCAGTGCGCATCTACTGAGATACTTAAGTAGTAGCCAGGGGTTGTGCCCCACTCTCAACTGATTTTAATTTTTAAAAAACGGAAAAATAAAAAACAGGGGAGTACGTACGCTATCAGAGCTTCCCATTCAAAAAAGTTTGACTCGTCCACTGGTCCGGCAACGATGCCCTCTGGAGGACTAGTTGTAAGCTCTAAAGGAAGATGCACGTTAAAGAGCCGCAATGTGGTGCGACATGCGATGTGACATGATTTTTGGAGCAACGGCAACAAAAAACGCTGCAAATGATAAGCTTGCCAGGCGATGGGCACAGCACAGGTGTGCGGGTCCGTTGCTGACAACAGCAAGGCGTGGGATCTGATAGTGGGTCAAGTAAACGATGAATGCAACTGGGGCGCCATAAATTAGGAAAACAACCTCTTTCGAACTCGTCGTATGATAATCCACTACGTCTTAAGCCCGAGTGTCTGGTTTGGCACCCCCTCCAACAGGACAAATGAAGTAAGCTACCTGGCCCAGCCGGAGGAAGGTATGCAGACTCGAAAGTCTATGAGGCTTATGCTTACCTGCAACACGGGTAATGAACTCAAAGACTGATGAGGTGATTGTTTCGCCCCGTGCGTGAAAGACGGGCTTACTTGTCTGTTTGTTTGTCGGACGTCCTACGCGTCCACGAGTGGAACAAAAGTAAGGGCTTCAAAGAAGACTAACCAGCCTCGGGTCTGAAGAAGTAGTTGCGGACAAGCAGCGGCAGGTCCCTTTACGTTCAGCTGGTCAGAGCCGTCCGGATGCCTCCAGGAGATTTATGAAGTGAAAATTTCCACGAAGACGTCGGTGACGCTGGAAAACTCTAGCATTTAGTTCGCCAAGTTAGTAGCAGATCCTCTGCTTTGAGTAACTCTGTCCGTCATTTTAGTGGCAGCTTTACTAATGACAGTTCAGTCAAGGTCAAGCGCTGGTGCGAGGGTTAGCAAGCCATCGCCCGCTCTTTTTAGCCCATTCAAGTCTATGCGGTGTCTTGTGACCTCGGTGGGAAATCATAGACTCAATGCAGCGGTTGCGCAGAGGCAGGGCGGCCGAGGAGAATGGCATTTCCGCTGGAGTCCGACTCCATTAAGCGATTGAACAGGGGTGGGGTGATAAGCTCCTTCCTTAAAACCAAGACTCAGGCATCCTTGTGTCTGTCTTCAAGAAGGTAGATGAGACAGATTGCGATACATACCACGGCACAAATCTCGTGAGCGTTGCTGCAAACGACTTTGCCAGGGTCATTCTCAGGTGGTTTTAAAGCGTTCATGACTCTAGGGAAAGATCCAAGTCAACTGAGTTCTGAGCAGGACGTGGATGCAGCGACGGGATACTTACACTGCAATGAGTTTCTGAATTTCGTCATGGATTCGAACAACTGACGGCCGTTTGCTGAGCTAAATTAATTGCAGTTTTTCATTTCGTCCATGGTGAGTCACTGTAGCGGTCAATGAAGCTATATGGTATGACGGCAAAACCCTGGCTTTATTCCGGGTTTGCTAACGTCCCTTCGCTGTGCAAGATCAGGTCCATAGAAATCACTACCAGTCGTTTGACAGGTGTCATTCTATCGTCCATTCTGTTTAACTACGCCATAGTGGCTGGATTGTTGGAAGGGTCCTATGTGGATTTGATGGTATCCAATTTGCACCGATTTTGACTATGTCCATGGTACCGCCGTGCTAACATCGAGCTATGGTAAAGTGCAGAATGCGGTGGCATTTGTGAATGAAGTCGCTAAATCACTTGATGTATTCACAACCGATGGGAAGCGCAAAGTGGTTCCAAGCTACATCTGTGACCAGCAGAAGCCGTTACTCGGAAGTTATGGCTGTCAGTTTAAAGGGTAGATTTAAATTCATTGAGGCGAAGTTACTGTTAAATAACAATCATCGCTCGCCATCACAGAAGAGAGTGCCGGAAGAGGGGAAGGGGACTGTGGTCGCAACTTCTTGCTCATTAGCCGACGTCAGCTAGCCATACCCAAATGGGGCTCGCATGACCTGGAATTCGAAGCTTTGGAAGCCTTAGGTGTATATGGGGCCGACGTGATATTCACGTGGCCATAAAAAATCGAGGCCGAATTGTGCGTGGGCAGACGGGAGAAAGCTGGTATTGATTGTTCATCGCAGACCGTGACTGATTCCTCGAGTAAGACATGGTGAGTTTGTTTTCAGGGCGACGACCACACCCGCTTCAATCCAATCACAAAAGACGTCTCAGACCACCAGAGGAAGACGTCTGAGATAGTGTAGACATGTTTTTCGCCGTCCGCCTGGTGAGTTTATGTGCTGTTAACCATGGTCCAGCACCACAGCCCACCAGCACACTGATTCAACACGGCCCGTCATGACATGGGGATGGTTCTTGAACCCTCAGCGGTCGGTCTACGCCACTAGAGAGGAGTTGGTCAAAGCCCTCAGACGCGATGCCGCGTGCTGTTATGTGTAGAGACGTAAAATCAGCGAGGTAATCGATGCGATATTAGACCAGGCGTGGCCGGAGAGGTAGGAAGTGCAAAACGGTCCGCGCGTCGAATCGATGAAGGTCGCGTGCTAACAAAAGTGTCCACTTAGTAGTGGTCGGGTTTGCTGCCCATAAAACATTTGTGAAAGCACCTACTTACGGTGACGATAAGTGTGGGGCAGGGTTGTCAGAATGCCTAAAATCCCCTAGTGGTCGTATACATATTAAACTCGACCCTTGCGGGAGATGAACAAACGGTGATGGAGGGGTCCCAGCAATCCTAGGAATTTAAGTGGAAGTTCATTTATGACAAAAAGATATCAAAAAACGCAGTTCTCGATATGCACTTAGGAAAGATCTATCCCTAAGGATGGAGCTCCTGTGTGATGTGACTTATGATCTGACATCAAGAGGAAGTCTAGACCTTTCCGAAGGTTGCATTCCAGACGTTCGGATATTAACTAAAAAGTAAATGATGAGGGGTAGAAGTGGTCCACTGGTGACCTGCGCTGTTAAAAGCATGGGGGTGTACATGTTTGCTTGCAGGAGAATGGTCATCTCATTCGTCGCATTTAAGACAGTTCTGGAAATTCAGTGGCGGATATAAATAAACCTAGAACGGACAGGCGGTCTCATTAGGAGCAAATATCTGCTGGAATCTACACAATGCAATGCACATATCCTCCTCCAATTGGAGGAGGGTGGAATAAAGATTAAAAACGCTATACAGATTGAGACACGGACCGAACACTACAGACTGCAAGGCAGATGGATCGAGTAAACAAACTCACGTTTGTACTCGGCCATTAGCCGTTTCAGCGCTCCGCCCGACATTTTTGCCAGAAAACTCGAAGTGGGACAGGCGCACACACTAAATAGAGATTCGCGCCACAAGGCCACCCTAAAAATTAACTGGGAGTTGCCGTCGTCAGCCAAAGGTCTAAATGTCCCAAAGGTTCGGCCACGTAGTGTATATATGCTAAGGAACTCAGCTTAAGAATCACAATAGTCAAAACTAACATATGTATTTTTTGAGAAAGAGTTGCGAAGCCCAGGGCTTTTCATAGACTGGAAGTTACTCTTTTTTGATAGCGTCGACAGTCATAAATAAATAAAGAAAACAAAATCCTGACGGAAGAAGGAGGAGACTTATCAGAAGGCACGGAATTTTGGGCTAGCGAAAGCACTGGCGAGCCCTTTGGCGGGTACGGATTGGCCTGGCTATGGGCTTTGGTCGGTCCGGGAAGTGGAGGAGCGAAGAGTCCTCGAGTGCGGCAACGGCATCCGTCAACGGCTTCCCAAAATTGTGCTGGAAAACGAGAATAAAACCCACTAGATCTTGGCCAAAAAAGCCAATGCTCGAAACTGGCATAAAAGTTACTTTTCCAGCCGGACTGCCCTCCATTGGAACGATTAAGACATCAATAACTTCTCTTAGAATTAAAGCCGAGACTGAAGGTTAGTAGATACAACCTGTCTATGTTCTAGGATCTGGTGGCTCAGAAAAATACGTTTCCGATGAATCGGCCAGTGATAATAAGGACGACGGCAGCCACCCAGCTAACGCAGACACCATCGTGAAACCAACCGCTCGAAGCAACAGCGCAATTAAGGCCTCAACTGTGTTTAGTCAGTTTCTAAGAACACCGCGAATGTTTGTGCTGAAGAAATGAATGCCGAATTACTACGCTTATGGCGATAGAGTTCAACATGTTAGGTGGAGTTTTCATCGCCTAAGTGTAGTTTCATGTCTTTTGGTTCTATGAAGCTTCCAGGTCCCATAGCTTTTCAGAAAAACCCACCCTCAGAATGCTTCCCCATAAAAGACATATGTTCACGTTATAAGAATAAACTTACTTAATTGCCCCATGCAGATGGAATCTATGCCAAGGCAGTGCAGATACGTGGGTTCATATCACATGGTTTTTTCCTTCCGGTAGTCAAGCTAAGACTTTGTCAAATGTTTGTTCTTTCTGTCATTGAGTACTGCTGTCCTTGCGTTGGTTTAATGGACGCCTGTGGTCGTAATAAAATTGAAAATGTTGAGAGGATTTTCACTCGGAAACTCTTCTGTCAAGTTACATCCGGTATTTCTTATACTCAATGATGTCAGCTGGACAGCATTAAGTTTTTACGGATTAGAAGACTCGAAGGTGGCCTTTGCTTCCTTTTCGCATTAACTCTAACCCAAGTCTTCCACCCATTGACATTATCACTCCGAGAGATCGGTTTTATGCCACGCGTAACTCCTCCATAGTGATTTCGCCACCTCTGCGCTCTAGATCTAAACTTTCGGTCTTTTTACATCAAAATATACCTTCGTCCGGAATAATCTTCCGCCGGAACTTAAGTAATCGCCTAAGTAATTCGCACTGATATCGTAATTACGCAGGCTCCATACACCGGAATGTATAAAGTCACTGTTGACAGTTTCATTCCCGAACACTCAGATTCTTGACTTTGAAAAGTGTTCTTCAAGGATTTAGTGGTAGATAAAGTGAAAATCCTCACTTATATTTTTAAAACCCCTGTTAATTGGCCACTAAACCCACTGCTACTACTCTTCCCCAAAGCGATGTTTTTGGCGGTTCTTGATTTACCTCCTCATTTCGACCCCAAGCGGTCTGTCGACACTCACAGTGGAATCCTCTGTATTTGCCATCTACTAGTAGTGTGGTCGGTCTGCAAAATGATCTCATGATCGTTTCCCCTGTACTCTTTTATGAACGCCTCAGCCTTTAACGCCCCTCCTCGGCTGGACCCGAAGCGAACTGTGACAGGTCACGTCTGGGCTCCTTTCGCCTAGCCACTTTGGTCCGAATAGCCTCATCTGGTTTAGGAATCTTGCCTTAGGGATATCCGTTCCGAATCCCTTATATACTGCCACATACTGTCCAGTCCTGCCTGACCCGCATACTTATCCTTTTTATGAGCGACGGCTTTCCTCTCCTTAAAAATCTATCCAATCACATCCATCTTGCCTATTCGAAAGAGGAGTTTTTCCACTACTGGCTAACCATTTTACTTTTCAGGCTGTTTGTTCTGTAGATATGAACTGAATATTGCACGGCTTCTATCTGCCTGTTACAAAATTCATATGAACATTTGTTTTTACTTGCTACGGCAAGACCCCAAGGGTCCCTAATAAAAATAATTTATTCTTTTATTCACTGAAGTGAACTGAAATGACTTTGCACCTACATAAACTTTCCCGTGTTAGGTTTGGCTTCATAGTCAATAATATTCCTAACCGTCATGCGGGTTTTTCTACTAGCTCATTTTTTTATTAACTAGCTAGCAAACTGCGCGTCTCCAATTAGTAACCTACCGATAGAAACCTCGTCGCTCCCTGGTTGCTGTTATGTGTTGTTTACAGAACATGCAAAGTGATGCTTGCACCGTAGTTTGAGCGAACATACTAAAAATATATCATTGTGGGCATTTACTGCTGGCAGTTTCTGTTAACTCCGATTAGCACTATCTGTAAATACGCTCCTATGATGTCTGTTGGGGCAAACAAACTTCCGCCTCGTGCAACAAAATGTCATTCATAATCGGTAGATGGAGGACGGTTTTTCAGAGAATCATTCGAATCCCCTGACTCGTTGCCGTGCCACTTCATGTTTATGCTTTCGAAACCCTAATACTGGCAAGCAAAACAGTAAGCATGGGAATCCAAGTTCGCACAACTCCAGGCAGCGAACCAATAACTCGCATATCATGCACGTCTGACCTGGGTTTTAAGCTCGTCCAGAAGCGCATTCTGGATACAATGCTTATGGGCTGCTGTCCAGTCTAGTAGACAACTTTGAATAGTCCTTGACTTTTTCAGCACGACAATTCAACCGTTGCATCCGACGATGTCCACCATGTGATCCGCAGCAAGGAGAAGCAGGCACGGCGACTTGCGCGCGGATTAATTTGTAGTGAGAGTAGACCTTCGCAGCATCTATCGCGCCCCCATCTCCTCATCCCCCATTCGACCCACTGTCAAGACAGAGTCAAGAAGACCGGAGACAGGTGGCAAGCTGATTGTGCGGCCAGATCCGCACCTAGGCGTACCACCATGCCTCCTGGTCCACGCAGCAAATGACCAGGTTTTGACCAGTAAAAAAGTGGCCGGCACGGCCGGAGCCGCAAATAGGTGTGACGTCACAGCTGGCTTGGATCTCGGGAAGTGAGGATGCCATAAAGACCGCATTAATAAGGAGTCATTGCAGTCTGACCCTCAGACCACCAGTTGTCCGCTCCACACGGACACACAACACTGGGCTGACTGCGAGGTTCAAGTTATCCCGTCAGCTGGCGATGTTCAAAGTCACGGCTCTAAGCGCACCGTGATAGCTTCAAGCGCGTAAGATTGTTTATAGTGAGGAAAGTGCGTTGGATCTTCGACCTCACTCTCCCTTCCCCTTCCTAGGTCCTAACCTCTGTCTGGGGCAGCTATTTGACAGGTGTGGGAATGGGCGCGGTGACCGACATGTCTAATGACCTTATCTGCGCGCAACACATGCACAGCCTGGCCCCCTCAAACACAAGCATCAGGATTCCACACAAAGGGTTTGAGCAGCACACATCTCGCATGCGTGAGAGTGCCGTGGGTCACGTTAAAAAGGAGCCGATTCAGCCCGACTCTCAGCCCACCAGCCTGCCATTCGACACAAACAGACAAAAAGGCAGGCTGTATGGAATGATTTGGGCGTCATTCAGCGACCTCTCAAGTCACGGTCCTTAACGCACCGTGATAGTCTCGGACTCGAATCACATATGCAGCGAAAGGGCTATACGGAGACGGAGCTGAGACGCACAGTTCCCACTTGAGTGGGAAGTGGCAGTTAGATGCTTGTGGTGGATTATGATGTAATGCGATGCTGGTGTTTTGAGGAGGGATCGAGGGGCGTAGCCGGTGGCTGTTTACTGTAGGTTTTCGCGAATGCCCATGTGGCCTAACAGGTCTATGTGTTGAGTGAATGTGCGGTTGCAGAGCGGGTATTTGTGACAAATGCGTGCAATGTATGTTGGTGCTCCAGGCTCTGACTCGCCAGTGTCTGTGCGAGGGATTCGCAAGTCACCGATCAGGCCGATGTGTGAGGTGAAGGTGCGATCGCAATTAGGATAGGTATGGACCGAGTACATATTGCTGGTGTTGAGGGTGGGGGCTGATCTTTGTTGGTACGTTAGGGTTGTGTGCAGCGGTGGTGGGTACAGGAGCCGCCGTGGCGGATGTCGAGACGATGGAGAAGGACGGCAGCGAGGGTTCAGGACTGCGATCAGTGTTGATTGCATTGTGGGGAGCAAGGCAGAGGCTGACCGTTGACATTGGGTGGTGTCGATCTGGTGCTGCACTTTGTACGAATATATTCAATAAGTATGATTGGCGCCCGAAACGTCCGTTGATATCGCGGTCAAGTGAGGGGGGGGGGGCGGTCGAGCGTTGACGTTGAGGGGGTGAACGCAGCTGAGATTTGCATGCCTGGCGTTTGGCTTTGGCGGCGATGATGCGGTTGACTTCGAAGACTGCCATGCCGGTCTTCACTGCTCCCCTTCAGGTCGGTCGATTCAGGGCGAGGTCTTCCCAGTTGGCCGGGCTAATTTGCGAACGCTCCAGAGGGATCTTCAGAGTATTCTCGTAGAGCCGGTATTTGCCTCCTTGTACGCGGGAATCGGTGGCGAAATCTCCATAGAAGAGCCGTTTTGGTAGCCGCTCGTCGTCCATGCGTACGAGGTGGCCGCTCCAGCGTAGTTGCAGTTGCCTCAACATGGCGTAGATAGTAAGGATTATCGTGCATTCTAATACAACCGCGTCGGGGATCCGGCCCTGTCACCTCAGATTCAATATCCGCCGGAGACAGCTGTGGTGAAAATGGCTGGGTCTTCGTGCCTGCTTCTTGTTCATCGTCCAAATCGCCGTTCCATACAGCAAAGTCGGCAGGATGACCCCTTTGTACATCTTCAGTTTGATGCTGATGTGGAAATCATGTTGATTCCAAACTGTTTCGCAGACGACCGAAGGTTTGACTGGCTTTGGAAATCCAGCAGACAACTTAATCGTTCATTTTGGTGTTGCAAGAGAGGGTTCTGTGCAGGTAGCTAAGGTCGTCAACGACTGCAGTTGGGTGCCACTCCCGTTGGATTGGGGTGCGCTGAAGGCAGCGTCGGGTGGCGGTTGATGCATAACCACTGTCTTCTCCGTGTTGGTGATTAGGCCGAAGATGTCACAGGCGGCAGCAAAGAGGTACGAGCTCCTTTGCACCTCCACTTCAAAAATGGCATTGACGGCGCAGTCGTCTGCGGAGAGGAGTTCATAGACGGAAGCTGCGAATGCACGCAACTGGAAGTGCACTCACGGCTGACTGATGAGGTGGCCGTCCATCCTGTTGGCCACGTCGGTCCCGGGGCGTTCACCACGGAAGGCCTTCAATAGCATGGCAGAGAACGTAAGACTGACGAGGGTATGACTGAGCAGACAGCCCTGCTTCACTCCGCTGGTCACTGCGGATGTCTCCAAGACAAATCCATTGGTCCCTGCCGTCATAGCATTATGGAGCTGATGCGCCATCTGCGTGAATTGATCGAAACAGCCGAATTTCTGCATGATTTTCTATATTCCTTCGGGCTTAAACGTAGTGAAGGTTCTCGTCAGATCCACGAAGGTGGAGTAAAGGTAGACCCGCATCTTCTGACACTTCTCCTGCAGTTGACGGGCAGGAAGGATCATGCCGGCGGTCACGCGATGACTGTGGAAACCGCACTGGCTTTCCGGCAGGAGACCCTGTTTCAGATATTGGTTCAGACGGTTGGGGAGAAGGCAAGGGAAGACTTTCCCAACAACATTGAGCAGGGGGATGCCTCCATGGTTGTGGTAGAGCTGGCGATTACCTTTCCGCTTATAGAAATGGACGACTGTGGCGTCCTTGAAATCCTTTGAAACTTGTCCCCGGCTCCTGAAAGAGCGACGTCGGGTATTTCACAAGTTGACCACTACAGTACTTGTCGATCTCAGCATAAATCGCGTCAGATCCATGCGCTTTCCTTCTGGAGAGATGTTAGACGGCCTGGAGGTTTCGTAGAGGAAAGGCAAGAGGTCGATGTCAACGTTAGTCTCCGCTTGAGGTAGACGGGCGGTGGCGGCGTCGGAGATGGAGCAGAGACGGTTGAGGACGCGTCTGAAGTGTTCGGCCGATCCCTGTAGGGTTCGAGTCTTCTCATTGAGTAGGGTACGGGAGTTGGCGCTGAGGAGAGGGGCGATGCCTTTGTCTGCGGAATCATAGACAGTCTTGATCTCGGCGAAGAAGTTCTTCCATTCGTTGCGGTCCGCGTATCCATGGGTCTGTCGACGCGTAATGGCATAATCGACAACCAGAAGGTTCCCAAATTAGAAGTCGAGGAAGGCGGATTGGTTAGACAAACTTTACTAGGGTGAAGAGCGTACAGCGGCTCTGCAAACAGTCACCATAAGCTGTCGTTCGCCTGGAGTTGTTGTTGTGTTTTGTGTGTCTCTGTTCTCTCCGTTAAAAGTCACGTCCGCAAAGGCGGCTGTTGCTGTCACCCACTGATCTTATTTGTGCACCTGTAACCAATCAGCGAAGAAGTTGACTTGATTGGCTTCACGAACGCAGGAGGGTAATGACAAGCGTTGAATGATGCAGACAGTGAACTGATCAAGAGCGTAATGCGGACAGAAGGGCAGTGACACATATAAGCTATTAAGTGTACGGACAGCCACAGATTTCCTCGATCTTGCGAGCCGCCCAGGAATCCTGCATCTCTCGCGGCCCCTATTGCATAAGACGGCAACCACGGTAGAAGTCCGCCTTGTTGTCATCGGTAGAGCGATCAACCCAGGCTCTGTGCAGGCTGTTCTCCTCGATGAGCACATTGTTCATGACGTCGTCGTTTTCGGCGAACCAGTCCTGACGTTGTCGACGTGCACAACCAAGGCGGTCCGATAGTTGAACCATCGGTACTCCATGGAGGCGTTCTCGTCGGCGGCCGCGGCGACGACTGGGAGGTCGGCTAGTCTTTGGCTAACTAATTGCTGGAATGGAGATGGTGAACGAGCAACGACCACAGAGCAATACTCAATTTACCTGTGGGTCGCTCACCTTGAGGCCCTCTGCGAGGCCTTAGGCGATCCGCAAAGTGGAAGTGACGAGACGATGGTCGGTCCACCCGTTGGCACCCAGGATCGCCTTTGTCACCAGCACGTATCGCTTGTCTCGACTCTGGAAGAAAGACATAATCCATCAGGTATCAGTGTCGCGACCGAAGGTTCAGCCAGGTGGCCTTCTCTCGTGTCGGAGGGCGGAAGTAAGTGTTGGTCAGGATGAACCTTTGTTCTGCGCAAGTTCGTAGGAGGAATAGGCCATTGTCATTGGAGCCGTGGAGACCATGGGGACCCAGCACTCCTCTGCAGGCAGCAAGGTCTGTGCCGACACGGGCGTTGAAGTCACCGAGGGCAATCAACCTATCCGCCTTCGGCACAGTCTCCAGGAAGTTGTGCAGGTCCTCGTAGACTTTCTTTCTTGCAGCATCAGGGCTGGCCAACTGGGAGCATAGATGCTGACGAAGGTGGCGAATCTGCCTACCAGGAGGTCGTGCGGAGTGTCATCAGGCGATGATTGATGCCCTGTGGCAAACAGGGCGGTCGTCTCACGATGTCGTTTAGAATGACAAAGACGACACTCGCGTCCCGTCGCACTGCCTTGGCAAAACCACTCCAGAGGAACTTGTAGCCGTCATCCATATCCCCTAGATGGTGTAGCATGGAGAACCAGCCCTCGCTGAGTGTGACTATGTCCACCTTTTTGTGCGCCGGTTCACTACCAGCTGGCACCGTTCTCCGCACCGGTCGGTTGCTCCTCAGGTATTCTAAAACGAAACGAACATTTCACGTTGCCAGTGTGAGCGAACTACCTTAGCTGACTTTTGGATGGGACGGCGGGAAGGGTGAGGGGAGAAAGAGAATACAGACTCTTGTTTGATTGTTTCGATCGTGTTTTTTGCGTCTGCGCGCCACGGTCAGCGCGCAAAGGACGTGATCCCAGCATTTGTTTAATGTACCCTTTCTGGCCCCGCTCCACTTTCGCGAGGGTGAGAAATGCTCTCCCTAAATAGGGCTGCTCAGAAATCGCAGCGGACTGTCGGACCCAACGATTTTGTTTAGTGAGAGAACAATCCGAGTTAGCCTGGGCCGCCTACACGATCTCTGTCGCTCTCGCCTTATGACTGTTTGTGGGGAGGAGGAAGAGTGAGGAATGGTAGAAAAACGAGAAATAGGGTTTCCCGTCCCACTGTTAGCTAACTGGTTGCTGAAATATAAACGCTGATCAGGAAAATTATACAGAACGGCGTTCAGCTTACAGCGAGGACAAAAACAGAGAAGCAGGCAAAGGCAGGCAAGCAAACGTAAGCAAGTTAAAGGCAAAGAGAACAGAACAATATTCGGCCTACCTGGGGGTTGCCTACCTTGTAGTCTCCAGCGGAGTTGGGGACGAAGATTAATCTAGGAGATGACGATGCGGTGATCCGTAGGGCATGTCCGTGTTCACTGAACATAGACTTTTTCATTACCATACTGAACATAATCCTCCCGTGTTAAATACAGTGTACCTTTGACCGCATACCGAATATTGTACATAGCCTTGGTTCCAATACTCCGCCCGAGACATGAAAGTACGAAGGAAACCAGAATCGCGGACCAATCTCATTCGCATGACTCCGTGTCTGAGGAGCAATTTGAAATGCCCGAACTACAATGGTTTGGTAGAGATAACCGGGAATACATATAATAGAAGCATATAGCATAACCAGCAGAGTAAATATTGTAGGTAGCAGTTCGACGATCCGACACAGCTTTATGTACAATCTTTGATGAAACCCTTAGACCGTTCAAAGAGCGAGTGAGCACATTAAAATGACAAATGAGTTCCATTAACTTGCTGTGAACATCAAATACCGAATATAAGGAAGCATCTTTTTTCTTAACCCCAACCAAGAATGACCACAGGAATTTAGGGTAGTTAATTTTCGGCAAGAGTTTAATCATGGGCTATCGTCTACAAAGAGCACTTATTGCCTATTCGATTTGTACATATAGGTCCCATTGTTTCAACTGTAAAACTGTAGTTTTGTATAGTTTTTTCTGCAGAAATTGCTTTCCCTTTTTGACGGATATCTGCTTCATTCTCTTTCTGTTCCCGTTCTCTTCGTTTTTTATCCTAAAATTGTGTTTTAATTTGTTTAAGTGCAAGGGTTCTAAAGTTTTCACTAATGCTGTTTGTCATCTCCGGCTGTCAGACGGTACAGGTTTCTGTCGAACGGTTCATTTCTTTACTGGATTTAACACACTTGTCGGTCCTAGCGGAAGGCCAAAAGGTAATGAGACTTTATAATGCTTCGGATAACTCATACACCTTGGCGAGAATCCCGGAAAAACGTAACCCCTTTAAGTCTAGACCCTTTCTGAGGGCTGTTAGGCTTATATTAGTTCCACTGCACATTTGTAGCGGAAACAACGATCACAAAAATTATCTTTACAAAAGATTCTAGTCTTAGGTGGGGAACGAAGGGCTCACCATTCGAACAGTGACGAAAAGAAAGGAATGGGAAATAGGGTACAGGCTAGTTATGCTGGTGGCTAGAAAAATAGAGGTCTGTTCAGTATCAGGCTGTTCTAAAAAATAAGGATCATTTTAGGTTATTTCATAAAGCTGCGGCCTGATACTCCGTAGCAATTCTTGTTGGTCGGGCAAATCGACGTCCGGCAAAGTGTAATTGAGAAGTAATTTTGAAATGTTTATCGCGCTTGACTAAAGCGAATTCTAGCGTATTAGAGTAATTTATAAATTACCAGCAGCAGATGACAGCGAAAGCAGGACATTCGTTGAAATAATTAGGATCCGACTGTTGCATAAATTTTGGCATTTTCAGACGTGAGTACAGAAAATGCTTGCACAAGTAAATTCGAAAACATAAACGGAACACGTGCATAGAGGCACGCATTTCCGCTGAACGACATTTCAGCCTGCAGGGGGCTGAAGCTTTAACCCCACTGCCATGAGATTTGCGGACATGAAATTCAGCTGAAAGAAACAGAATCTCAGTCAATGAGTCTGTGGGCATTCAGGTAAGCGTAACTCTGAGATGTTTGATTTGAGTCTGTCGTAACCTTGGGATGATTCAACCTTGACCGTAGGAAGCGGCCAAGTTAAAAGTGCTGTGTCCAGCTCATTTTTCCGTCGTAGTGAGTCGCCAGTTTAACTGACAATTATGTTTGTTTTTGCGTGCTGGAGCATCGTTTCCGTCTGGACCGTTATCATAGTACTGATTTAGACGCTTTTGATGCGCCTTCTTCTCACCTAATTGACTGTCTGACTTAAGTCGGATAGATCATACGCTTTTATAAACTTTGGTCCACCCAGATTACCCTTCACTTTTCTGACGTCCAAGTTAAATCGTCCTATTATTCGACCGTTCAAATGTCACATATACTTGTCCTACGACGTCGTTAGTGTTTTCAAAGCGTCTTCTGAAAGACAGATCATGTGGCTATAGCCACATGATGGGCATAGCTCCCGTCATCGAGCTGTCCGCTAAGGCAATTTCCGGACGTCCGTAGTAGTCTCATTGGGTCCTTGAGAACCAAGCAAATTTCTCAGAAATCCTGGAGGAAAAATTTGCCTCGAGCCGCCTTCAGGCCTTCCGTCGCCTCTGCATATTTTACACATTTCATCAACTTATACTCATGGGATGCCTACCCGTCGAGGTTTCTGTGAATAGTTTGAGCATTTCCAACTCCGGTGACTGTTCAACCACGTACGACATGAAGGCAATGACAGCATCAGGATCCTCTGTTGCCGCATAATAGGCTCGCTTCTTACGTTGAATGCGGTTATAAACGGTGCTCCGGGGCAATCCGTAATACCTACGCCTTATAATTACTCTCCAGTGACAATAAAAAACAATATATTAAGGTTATAAATATGCGCTGGGAGGGCTGTCATTTGGCAATTTGACCCATTTGCACTTAACCTGAGTTCAAATTATTAAGAAATGGCAGAGCTCAACACAGACTGTAATGCCAAAACATTAAAAAGGAAAAAGATTACGTGCCACAGTATGAAAAGCACTAGGACGCCATTAAGCTGGATGATAACCGACAACCGGCATGCAACACTCAGCAGAAAAGAGCCCTCCGGTTGATCTACGTAAACAAGGAAGTTTATTCAGTGCATCCAGGGATGCCGCCTTGATGGGACATATTGACTACAGGGAAAATTTACTAGAGGTAATTTTAGCACTTTGTTTTTGATATAGTTTAATTTAGCGGTTAAATGCACTACTTGAAACGTTAAATTCCGGAACAATTCGTTTATTATCCTGAGCTTTCAGACTCGTACAGGAGTCCATCGTCAGAGGTAGTGGCAGAAACAGGACAAGCGGCAGTTATAAGGCACGTAGACCCAATCATCGACCGACGTCGCACGACTGGAGGTGACTACGAAGGGCTCTGTACGCCGGCGTACAGAGCCCTTCGTAGTCACCTCCAGTCGTGCGACGTCGGTCGATGATTGGGTCTACGTGCCTTATAACTGCCGCTTGTCCTGTTTCTGCCACTACCTCTGACGATGGACTCCTGTACGAGTCTGAAAGCTCAGGATAATAAACGAATTGTTCCGGTGCTCGATTCTTCTTCTTCTTCAAATATGTATACACCTGGAACTCGAAATTTCGCCTTCATACGTTAAATTCCTTCAGTAATCCGGAAAACTGCTTAAAAGTGGGTGGGCCAAGGCTGCGCCCAGCCCAATCGTGGCCCCCGCTTATGACGGGTCCATGTGTTAGCAGGATATCCGATTGGTCTAGGCTTCATTCAAACCTGATGACTGGCAGATTATATTTTTAACCGACCACTAATTCAGCTTTTCGAAGATAACTGTCGTAAGTACGGGCGTACTGG